GATTTTTGCAATTTTCAGGAATTTTTGCGATTTTTGCAATTTTCAGGAATTTTTGCGATTTTTGCAATTTCCAGGAATTTTTGCGATTTTTGCAATTTTCAGGAATTTTTGCGATTTTTGCAATTTTCAGGCATTTTTGCGATTTTTGCAATTTTCAGGAATTTTTGCGATTTTTGCAATTTTCAGGAATTTTTGCGATTTTTGCAATTTTCAGGCATTTTTGCGATTTTTGCAATTTTCAGGAATTTTTGCGATTTTTTCAATTTTCAGGAATTTTCGCGATTTTCAGGAATTTTTGTGATTTTTGCAATTTTCAGGAATTTTTGCGATTTTTGCAATTTTCAGGAATTTTGCGATTTTTGCAATTTTCAGGAATTTTTGCGATTTTTGCAATTTTCAGGAATTTTTGCGATTTTTGCAATTTTCAGGCATTTTTGCGATTTTTGCAATTTTCATGAATTTTTGCAATTTTCAGGCATTTTTGCGATTTTTGCAATTTTCAGGTATTTTTGCGATTTTTGCAATTTTCAGGAATTTTTGCGATTTTTGCAATTTTCAGGCATTTTTGCGATTTTTGCAATTTTCAGGCATTTTTGCGATTTTTGCAATTTTCAGGCATTTTTGCGATTTTTGCAATTTTCAGGCATTTTTGCGATTTTTGCAATTTTCAGGCATTTTTGCAATTTTCAGGCATTTTTGCAATTTTCAGTCATTTTTGCGATTTTTTCATTTCTCAGGAATTTTTGCAATTTTCAGGCATTTTTGCGATTTTTGCAATTTCCAGGCATTTTTGCAATTTTCAAGCATTTTTGGAATTTTCAGGAATTTTTGCGATTTTTGCAATTTTCAGGAATTTTTGCGATTTTTGCAATTTTCAGGCATTAGCGATTTTTGCAATTTTCAGGCATTTTTGCGATTTTTGCAATTTTCAGGCATTTTTGCGATTTTTGCAATTTTCAGGAATTTTTGCAATTTTCAGGCTTTGCTGCGATTTTTGGAATTTTCAGGCATTTTTGCGATTTTTTCAATTTTCAGGAATTTTTGCGATTTCTTCAATTCTCAGGAATTTTTGCGATATTTTCAATTCTCAGGCATTTTTGCGATTTTTTCAATCTTCAGGCATTCTTGCGATTTTTGCAATTTTCAGGCATTTTTGCGAATTTTTCAATTTTCAGGAATTTTCGCGATTTGTTCAATTTTCAGGAATTTTTGCAATTTTCAGGCATTAGCGATTTTTGCAATTTTCAGGAAATTTTGCAATTTTCAGGCAGTTTTGCGATTTTTGCAATTTTCAGGAATTTTCGCGATTTTTTCAATTTTCAGGAATTTTTGCAATTTTCAGGCATTAGCGATTTTTGCAATTTTCAGGCATTTTTGCGATTTTTGCAATTTCCAGGCATTTTTGCGATTTCTTCAATTTTCAGGAATTTTTGCAATTTTCAGGCATTTTTACGATTTTTTCAATTTTCAGGAATTTTTGCGATTTTTTCAATTTTCAGGAATTTTTGCAATTTTTTCAATTTCCAGGAATTTTCGCGATTTTTTCAATTTCCAGGAATTTTTGCGATTTTTTCAATTTCCAGGAATTTTTGCGATTTTTTCAATTTTCAGGCATTTTTGCGAATTTTTCAATTTTCAGGAATTTTCGCGATTTTTTCAATTTTCAGGAATTTTTGCAATTTTCAGGCATTTTTGGGATTTTTGCAATTTTCAGGCATTTTTGCGATTTTTGCAATTTTGCTTCCTCATAAAGTTGATTTGATGGGGTGTCATATGGAAGAGGATACAGTACTTTTAATGTTTTTTTTTATATAGTACAGATGTTTTGTTGCAATCATTCCTGGAACATGAACCTCAAATATTGATGAGATAGTTCATTTTACTAAGGATGTGAGAGTATAGAACGGTATTTGCTAGCGCCAACCATGGGAGACATTTTTTCTTTGAGCATGCCAATATGCTTGTCCTATGTTAACTTTTCATCAATCCAAATACCAATGGAATTCGCTGTCAAAGTGAAAATTGCCCATTCTTCTCCATCACTTTTCACTGAACTCATGCAAATGAATTCAAAAATAGATTTAGATTATGTGAACGTTTTTTTTTTGAGAATATTTCTGAAATATACAGTAAAATGGTGAAATTTGAAGGTTAATTTTCAGATGATGCTGATGGATATGACGACCGTGGAGCTAGACAAAAGGAGCCTGCAGTTAGAAACTAATTTTTTTTAAAAGGATTAGAAAAAACTCCACCATGTACATTTTTTCACATTATCTTGTGATATTTTAGGAAATAAAGTTCATATAAACATGTGTCCTAACTTGCTTCGTTTTCGAGATACAGGGTATTATTATTTCCATGAAAAATCTTTTTTCTATTCATTTCTCAATTGCCTTTTCGTTAGTTTCAATAGAACGTTGTGGTTTTGTTAATAGTAGTATGGAGCTTGTTCTAGTGCAAATATATTCGTAATAATATTTCCAGTGGCGTCACAGTGGGTAAATAAATGAGTTTCATATTTTTATTACATTGAACTATTGAAATAACAACTTTTTTATCCTTTGTGTGATTTTTGTATCTAGCTTAGTTCTTGAGGAAACAATAAAAATTAGATTCGACTCCAAATTTTAATGTATAGGTGTTTTCAAGACTTCCATTGAGATTACACAATAACCCAAATTAGAATCATTCTGAAAGTGTGGGGCTTACTCAATATTCATCCATACTGAATTTTGGCACCATGGAAGCTCATACATGGGGGTTATGAATAAAAACAATTAATACTTCCATCTTCAACATCCTGTATCTCAAAAACGGAGCAAGTTAGTACACATGTTTATATGAACTTTATTTGCTAGAATGTCACTAGGAAACACCCCTTGAATTTGTTCGGTGTTATTTAGATACACCCTTTATACACGAAGAAAAAATCACTTGCTTACTATTATAGGCCCAATCGCAGGTATCTTGTTATAATTTTTGTTACAATGATATGATCGAGAAGTTGTAGGAGTGGATGATATCCATGATGAATAGAAATTGAACCAGTAAGATATTTTTCATTGTCTGTAATAATCCAAATGAACTGGGCCAGTTTTGCTATTATTTGTACTTCAAACTGATGGAGGCTGCAAATTGCTTGAAGTTATTTGTAATTTCGACATCTCATATTTTTATTTAAATTGTTATCCACTTCTATATACTTTATTGGCAACAGATGGTTTTACTATGTTTTCTAGATTATTTTCATTATCTGAATATAGACGAATAATACCAATAATTCGTAAAAATATCATTGGTTTTGATGGAGTGTGCATGAGATTCAAAGAACTATAATATATAGGATGATTGTTTCATGTTTCAGACAACTCATAAATTTGATGTTCTGTTCGAACAGTTGTGAGCAGTATATTATTTTCTAATTTTACATGTAGTATAGTTTCCCCAGATAATCTTTTTTTATTGGGTCAGCAACTATCTGTTTTTTTTTATAAAATTTAACGAAGTCTCACAATTAATTAATATACAGAGAGATATCAATAATAGGTGTATGGGATGATCATAAAGAATGACAAAGCAACAAATTGAAATTTTAATGTTGTCAATATTTATGTCCTCATGATATACCAAACATCAGATTGACCGATTATGCTTGGATTTGTTCTGCTCACATTTATTTTACTTCGAGCAAAACCCTATATACATATTATACTTCACTCGATCTCCGAAATATCCAAAATAAATTTTTTATTTTGTTCGCATTTTTTTTCACTTACAAAATAAAGCCAAACATCGAAATATCGAAAACAAAACTTTTTGATGATGAGTGAAAAGTTAACAAATAACTTCTTTGCCTTCGATATTCTCAAAAGAAGCACCACGGCGTGGAAATTAACCTAGTAATAGGAAGTATGAAAAGAAATCGATGATGAGCCATAATTGATCTTTCGAACGTATATTGTTTTTTGTTGCTATGTTTACGATTCATTAGATGGATTGGTGTTCAAGATATATACAGGGTATATCTAAATAATACCGGAAAAATTCGAGGGGTGTTTTCTTGTGACATTCTAGCAAATAAAGTTCATATAAACATGTGTCCTAACTTGCCCCGTTTTTGAGTTACAGGATGTTGAAGTTGGAAGTATTCATTGTTTTTATTTATAACCCTCCTGCGTAAGCTTTTATAGTGCCAAAATTCAGTATGGATGGAGACTGAGAAAGCCCCAAAATTTAAGAATTATTCTAATTGGGGTTATTTAGTAATCTCAATGGAAGTCTTGAAAACACATACCTACATTAAAATTTTGAGTTCAATCTAATAAAATAATTTAACTCAGAAAAACCGGTAAACCGATAAATTTACCCACTGTGACGCCACTGGGAATATTATTTGGAATCTGATTGCACTAGAAGAAGCTCCATATTACTATTAACAAAACCACAGCGTTTTATAGAAATTGATGAAAAGACAATTGAGAAATGAATAGAAAAATCTAGTTGGCAACACTGAAATTTCCGAACAGAGGTAGGTGAGTCGATTTAATTGATTGTCTTTATTACCCCAAGAAACATATAGTTGTTTATAATAGGGATACATAAACAATATACCTTCAAACCGGTCTGTGGTTGTCTAGCGTGGCCTGGTTAAATCGAAATCAATAGGCATTCAGGAAAGAATTACTTGTATCAATATTCATTCGTTTATACGAGTCGATGCATAGATTTTGGGAGGATGTAATTCAATGTTCTGCGTGGCATTAGCCAGGAAAGTAGTTGTTTTTCTCCCGAAATCTACCATTGTTGTCCATTTTATGAACATTGTGTGGAAATGACTTCGAGCTTTTTGTATTTATAAAACTTTGAGTTTTTGGGCCATGTTCAAGTGATAAGGCAACGCGTTATTGGTTATTGGTGGTACAAAGTGGTACATTTTCTTCACTTGGGTTGGTACAATTGCAAAAAAAGTTCTGGCAACACTGGCCTCAACTATTTACCTCTTGGATTATCAATGCTCGTGGAGAACGTCAAATCCAATCCATTGGTGAACGTGTCCACGCAATTCGATCCGTTCACGAAACTCTGGCCATCGGCGCAGCATTTCCTGACACACCGTATCCCCCCGCAAATCTCCGTGTCCTCTCTGCACTCCCTCCTAACGAAACCACCCTCCACGTTCCTGTCCACGCAAAAATCGGAACCGCTCCAAAAGCCCCTGTCGTCCAATTCGTAGTCCACTATGAGTTTGCATTGGGGCAGTCCCACTCGCACCTAGCTCAGAAAATCCAGTTACGACGAGAATCTCACTCGGAAAAAATTCAAGTATATCACAGTATATTATTCTTTCACTAGAGTTATGTAAACAACCATTTAGGATTTTATGACATTACGATCCAATATGACACCACCTTTTTTGTTCAAATGGAACACCCTGTATATTTTTACATATTCTAGTTCAACGGGTCAGAACAAGTGCAATCTTTATGTTAAATGTCATTTTTTCGAAGATGTTGAAATTTAAATTATTATTTCATTTTACCTCGTGGATAAATGAGATGTGATCAAAGCTATTCACAATGAGTCCCACGTACTTGAGAATAGTTATATATTATACAAGGGCAAAAGTAGTGGATATATAGAAATATACAATACATTGAAAGTGGCATTAATTTTCAAACTTTTGCCGTCACAAAAAAACATTTTTTTTTCTGAAAAACTATTTTCTCTGTCACTTATTGAATCCATTCAGTCACATGACATTTTGATCAATCCTTATTCATTTTCAAATGGAACCCCTATGGGACATATACATAAATATGTCTCTCTAGAACAAACATCAGGTGAAAGAAGACATATCATTTTTGTATTTCGGTGCAGTAACAAATTGTATAAATCCAAAAATCAACAGCCAGTTCATGAATTTCCTTGCAGTTCGAATATTTTCTCAAGTAAGCTGTGGAAAACAATATTTTTGATGAATCTTGTCACAAATATACAGGGTGTTCCATTTGAAATAACGAAGTTACAAGCATTTCCAAAAAAACCGGGAGTGTACCATATCGGATTGTAATGTCATCAAATCCGAAATTGTTGCTTACATAAATGTACCAAATTTCAGAAAAATTCGCTTACGAATGCAGAAGTTACAGGGGTGGCACGATACCCAATGTCACCCAGTATATCCGTAGGGAAACCGACTACTCGAATTTTTTCCACGTAAAAATAAACCAATTTTCTACGCCGGCGGGTGTAGAAGTTAGTTACTCTGGTAACAAAAGAGGGGCAGAAGTCTCGTATTCTTCCCTAGGGAGATAATGTGACATATTTTCTCCCTAGGGAGTTATACCAACTTTACATTTTCCGCATAGCTCTGCGCATTCTTTTCGGAACACCCTTCTCTGAAGCGAGTATAATCTAGAAATCTGTATGATGCATACAGATTTCTAGATCTCACTGGTGCAGAAACAATATCAACAGTTTCTTGGGGTTTTCCCTCGATTTCTTGTTTCATAACAGTTAACCATTTTCAAAGCTGATGTTTTCATAAATTTCAGTTTGATATTTGCTGTCATTATGGGTTGTCTACAAGATGCATGTTGTCAAGATAAGAATTCCACAAACTATACTACTACTAATTATGACAAAACACTTTGACCAAATTTTTATTCTTTCTTAATTTTTGTGTTTTCGCCAGCGTAAAAAATAGTATATTATACACCTCAGGACAGAATGCTATTTTTCCCTTGGTGCTTTGTATATCTCGGGCTTTGCCCTCGAGCTACAAATCGCACCCTGGAAAAAAGCTTGCATTTGTGTCCCTTGATGTACTATTTCTTTGACGGGAAGAATGTTTGACAATTAATCTCTGTTGACAGGTTCTGAAGTCACTTTTTGTAAACTGTCTCCGAGAAAAAACTGCAAGTCCTTTTATCTTCCATTCCACTTCGCCGTTACGTAAATTACTAAACAACCACTAAGTTCGCATTTTTTTTTTAAATCAAATCACATCATTAGACTGACATATATTTGATTACTTCAAAAGAATGATAAAGATGCCTGCAACGCGGGTGTAATTCCTGTTAAAAACTTCAAATTTCACGTCGATAATTTTCTGATTTTAATATAAATGTAAAATCTTCTCGATATTGATTCGACCATTTTCCTGTCACAGAGAAGAATAGTGGGTTATACCAGGGAAAAATATTAGATTCTAGCTCACGCTACGTGTCGGGAGACAACACAACCTCGAGCTAAAATCTACTACTTTTTTTCCTTGTATAATAAATAACTATTTATTGGACTAACCACGTTTCCCGTGATGAAGTCTTCTTCGGCAAGGTCGGTCTTGGTGCAGGCGTGGAGTTGCGGATGGTAGGAGTATCCTAACGGGCAGCATTTTTGAAAAATTTGGGAGGTCAGTGGGGTTTCTTCTGCGATATCGCCGTTTCGAATGGTGAATGTGTATGCCTGGTCGTTGTAGACTTCTACGCACTGGCCGTCGGTTTCGGTGTCCAAAAAGTTTGTCTGGTTGGCGAAAATGGTCAGCCTTTTCACGGTATCTTTGGCACACCTGTAGCTCGACAAATACTAGGAAATATCATCCCGAAAAATAAATCTTCCAAGTAAATTCTTTGATTTTGCTTTAGTTTATCAAAGCTAAACGAGAATGACTAGAATAGTGTGCTCTCTCAAAATTTGGAAAACTCTCAGGAATACAAGCATACAATATAAATTATATCACAGTTGAGAGAATATTACTTATATCTCCTGAAAGAGTTTGAGATAATTTCACTTTTACTTATCACAAAAAACAAGAATCGTACCTCAATTTGAATTCACTGTGATGCTTCATTTCGATTCCCATTTTTTCATTATTCACTTATACTACTTATAATACTTTTCTGTTTCATGATTTTTTTTGGAGACATGTTGCGTTAATTATGTCCGATTGGCGAAAATGGTCAGCCTTTTAACGGTATCTTTGGAACACCTGTAGGTATATAGCTCGACAAATACCGGGACAAATATACTAAGAAATATCCTCCCGACAAAATATCTTCCACAACAAATTCTTTGATTTTGCATTGATTTATCGGAGCTAAACGAGTATCTAGAGTGGATAGAAAAGTGCTCTCTCAAAATGTTGGAAAATCTCAGGAATACACGAGGGAATACAAGCATACATCGTTCCAGATTTTTGGGATTTTCTCTTATCGTTTCTACACTATAGAATAAACATATGAACATCATTTGAATTTACGTGTAGTGAGGACAAATCAGAGGAGGACTTCTGTGAGTGAGATTGATACTTAACGTAAGTGAAAAAACGTTACATTATGCATTATGACGCTTTTTTGTTTTTCTTCAACTGAAACTTATTCCGGATTCTAGAAACATACTGCCACAATACGAAGTATGTCAGTTTTTCACATACATTTCATTGATGATCCGCAATTTCTAGTAGGGTGAAAAACCGTAACAATTATTTGCTTTGAGACACTTTTTTATGCTTCTTTCAGTGAACTCCGTATTGCTTCCAAAATTTTCTCAAAACAACGTGTCACTGAGAAGCGATGCGTAAATAATATTTATATTTCTATTCTATAGAAACGAGAAGAGAACATCCCAAAAAATCTGGAATAATGAATTCACCACCTCCTCGATCAACCTACAGACAGTATTCAACAAGCATACAAATAAATCATGGAAACCATCGATCCGTCTCAAAGTGGTCCAAATTTTTTCAAAATAGAAATTTACCAAGTCGGTCGACCACAAAAATTATATTACACAAAATGTATTGTGACTAGTTTCGGCTCAAACAGCCATCTTCAGACACATTAGTGCACAGTACCTGTAAAAAGATTTAATTTACAGGAACTATAAGTTGTTGAAGAAAAACATCCATATAGGGCCATGTGGAAATCACATTATGAAAATAAAAATAAAATGAGCCGTGGAGTCATTTGATCAAACAAAAATACACCAGTCGACCGATTTGGTGTATTTCTGTTTTTCTTTGATACAAATTATATCTCCTAAGGGAGTTCAAGATAAGATTACCTATGCACATTATAAAAAAAAGATTCATATACCTTATCTTGAATTCACTGTGATAGTTCATTTCGATATATTTTTATCAAGGAATGATACTTTTCGGTTTTATGATTTTCTTTGTAGACATGTTGGGTTAATTTGGAGGTTGATTGACATATTGCTTTTGCAAGTAAAAACATCCCTCCGAATTTTGCTCCTCATTTCCGAAACTCCCAGTGTATTTTCGTATTTTCTAGATTTTTCAAAAATTTTGAAATATGTAATTTATCAAAATTCAACGTTTAGAGTTTTGCAAAACTTTTTTGAAAATTTGGTGTATTATGAGTAGGTATAGGAAACTTCGCCATATAATTGAAAATCGAAAAAAAATTTCACCGTTAGTTTTCTGCCAATCTCGTGTTTCTTGAGGAGGATATTTCTCAGTATTCGTGTCTCCCCAACTTCAACTTCTCATTTTACCTGAAGCTCGAATTCTCTGATTTGAATAGAATGTGGTCCAAACCGCAACATTTCACAGCATCCTCTATGGCGCGAGATTTTCCATTGGAAATCATGAGATGCACCAACAACACGAACGTCCAATGGAAATGCATTTCGGCTCGTTCACGGTTGACGCACCGGTATTGACTGTGTCATTAACAACAATTGACATTGTCTAGGTACTTAGCATCTGGATCCGGTCTACAGACTGCTCTGTGGTGATATTCGCGATGGACTAAAAATCTGCCGACGCGGGTGAGTTTAGTCTCTGGGTCTCGCATATTGTACTAATACTAATAGTCCGGTCGAATTCGACTCGAGTCTTTGATTGCGTCGTAGGAACATATTTTTTCTCCAAAAGTCATAAAAGTGGCATTTCTATGACACTTAACATGCATCAAAGGTGTACTTTCTCTGCCTGGGCATAAAAAGTATGTTGTTATTCAACGTTCCAAGTCATTGAACGAAATTGTTACTCAATTAACACCGGAAATTTTTGCCAAAACACGAATGTTTTGAAAATGTTTCCTAGTCGAAGAATTATAACATTGTTAGATAAAATAAAACAGAATAACACAAAATAATAAAACATATGTCTTTGACTTTGAGCTTTCCTTCTCCCTTTTAAAAAAATATGTCGATATAGTAGCTCAGTTTTTCACAAATTCGTTCCACTAAAGTTGGTAGAAATATATTTTCTCACAAGATACTCGAAATACTGTATTCAGTATCGATGAAATTTGCTCACGTGATATAAGGTTGAATATAATATGAAACGACATTAGTTAAAGGAAATAATAAAAATTAAGTCAATAGTAGGTCAACTGTCAGTTTTTTACAAATTCATTTGGCTAAATTTGGTAAAAAAATATTTTCTCACAAGGAACTTATCAACTTACGTATAAACGTCAAAAAGATTCCTGAAATTTGTTTAGTTGCTATGGTAACGAAACAAACACATGCTTTCAATTGGTCGAAAATGTTAGGTTTGAAATTTTCACTTATAATCCCCCTAGGGAATGAATGGGCTTATATCACAAAAAATTTGTATTTCATAATTCGATAGAACTCACCCAAACTAGCTCACCACCGCAAACCGTTTCTTGCTGTGAGCTCCCTACGTTTTATAAAAAATTGTTAAAATACCCTATTTTTCGGACCTCTGAAAACGAGGCGATGATGTGACATCAAAACCCTAATACTGAAACAAAACTATTCCAGACAGAGATGAATGATACATGATTTCTGACAGAGCGAATTAGCGCGAGATCACAGTTGAAAGAATTAATATATCAGTTGCCTCAGTCTCCGCGTCGGGCGTTTGTTATTTAACTATGGCGGGATGAGGTTTCTACGTCATAAGAGGGTCCGTTTTCAGAAGGTACTATTATTTATGTCCAAAAATAAAACATTCCAGTTAATTTTTCTATCGAATTATGTCGTCAATCATTATTTATGTATAAAAGGATCATTATAAACATGGTTTATTTTGAGTTAAAAGTTTTACTAAAAGGTGTACACGCCCATTATTGCCGGATATTTTTTGAGGGATAATTTTCTTTAAAAATTCATGTACGAGACAAATTTTCCGCAATTAATTTATGCACGTGGGGGATTCGGTAACGAAATGCTATACCGGCATTATATTCAAAAAGAAAACATTGAGTGAATATTTTCTCTAGCTGTATATTAGTAAAATAAAATAGTATTAGATACATACATAAAAATAATTGATTTCATATGATTTTGTTACTAGGTCTCCGGAAAATAAAAAATATTGTCAAAATTGTCAAAACATGCTCATGTGGATGAAAAATTTCCAAAAAATTTTGCTGGTACACTGTCGAAATAAAGCATCTGATTGGTTGAAAATGACTGGTATGAAATTTTCAGTAAAAAATTACACAGAATTGGTTCTATAACATTTGGAGAAATATTATGTTTCACATGGCAGCAAAGTAGATTGACTGCCTAGTAAAACAAATAAATATGTTTTACTGAGAAATAATTTATAAGAACTGAAAATTCTTCATACAGAAGGAACGCACTTCTTAACAGCATTTTTCACACTAACGGCTTCTTTAATGACTTGATACGATTGTGAGAATGACATTTTTATAATTCGACATACAGAGAAGTGCACAAAAGTCGGCAATCAGTCCTGTAACCTCAGAATCATTCTATATCGGATTTTGAAATTGGTAGTCTGAAAATGTGTAGTTCTTTTCATCCTGACGGTCAACATGATGATTCTTTGTTCATTTTCATTTTAACAATTCGTTGTTTGATTGTGTACCATTAGGTAAGTTTGAATCATTCAATGTTATATATTTCAAATTATATCAAGAATAAAATTGGAATAACGACCAACATAATAGAGGAAATAACGAATATGATTTGAAAAATGTCTAATACTATTTTGTAATTCTGATGTGTCTTTTGAATCAATCATAGCTGGCATAGAAATAAAATACAAAAAAACTTCATACAGAAAAGTAGATCTATCCGAATTTTCTATATACTACAAAGCAAACTGGCCTGCAAAAAATGTCGGCAACAATCAACTCAAATTAGCAGCCGAAAAAAAATTTACCACTGCATTATCACTGATATTATCAGTTGGACCATTCAGGGCGGTGTATATAATTAGGTTGCTAGCGAACAAGTAAATACAGGGGTGTTCCTTCTGCTCGAAGTGGGACACACTGTATACGATCGGAAGTCGGCACGTAATGTTTTATATTGCGTCACTGGTATAATAAACAGAATTGTCGTGTGATTCCATGATTAGGTGGCGGTGATGACAAAACTGAATCGGAATGGATATTGGCAATAGAACTGTGGCAATAATTTCAGGATGTGCATGTTTGTAATTTGCTTGAAACACATTTTATTTTATATCTTATCATTTCTTATAGTTTCTTATCGAAGAGAGTACAGCGGATAATTCATCATAGATGATGTATTCCTCGATGTGACTTAACAGTTTCTCAAAGTAGGTATTCAGTTTCGAAAAAGAAAAATATAGAAAAATATGAATGAAATTATCATATATAAGTAATATCACGATGTTCTGAATATTCCAGATTGTGTTGCCGAGCAACACCACGAGTCCAGGGTATTGATGTACGGCAGCACAATTGAGTTTACATTGAAAGACAGAATTATGAGGTGATATTCAGAAGAGAGTGGTATTTTGCTAGACTATTCCACGTTCAAGAAGCATAAGAAGCATTCATTAAAAATGAAAAGATATTCAGAAGAGAGTGGTATTTTGCTAAACTATTTCACGTTCACGAAGCATAAAAAGCATTTATAATAGACAGCCATAATTATTTTATGCCAAACTGACAGAATTTGCTTCGCTATCCATGGTTACATTCAGATTTTGATTTGCTATCCATGGTAACATCGTTGAAAACATGAACGCTGTCAGACCAATCAGAATTGATAGACAAATCATGTTTTCACGATAAGCACACCGTGTCTCTGGCTTGTGATTGGCTTTTAATCGAATAAAATTCATCAGTTTCTTCGAAAATCGATTGTTGTAAAGTTTTGTAATATATATTTCTACCAAAGATCAAACTTTCTACGATATACCTAAATTGTAGTCACTATAATACTGTTAAGAATGCGACTGTCTATAAACATGATGCATTATCTTATCTACAAAGGTGTGGATGACGTTTGAAATATTAAAAACATGAAAGATGTCTTATCAGGAAAAACCACCTACCTGAGATAATAGGACAAAAAATATATAAGCTTCCACGTTATTGTTGATCAACCTAATTGAGTTTTCAATGATAATTATAAAATGATGAAAATATTGATAACAATAATTATTATATAAATATCGATTTTCATTCAATACCTATTCAAATATTTTACCGAATTGAAAAGGGGTACCTATGTTGTTAACGATATATTTGATTTAGGCCAATCCTTACATTTAATTTTCTAATTTTGGTCCGACTCTCAGTACTTCTGTTAATCAAATTTTTTCATAACGCTGACAGATATGAAAGAAAACCGACTAGGTAGGTATATAATTATAGGGTATGTATATATGCTTTTATATCGAAGCGCCCTTGCAGTTCACTCTAAAAAATTAAAATCACACTATACACGCCTTTCTGTTGACTTATCATTATTCTTTGACTCTCCCCAGTGCCTGCACCTACACCTGTTTGTCTACATGGACAGGTAAAACTGACCCCAAACCGATTATAGTACAGTAAAAAATGTGATTCCTTATTCCACCGTATAACTTTGGCAGATACCTATGATAACAAATGTGGATTTTTGACTTATATTCTTCTAGCTTAGGCATTATGACATCTGTACCCGATTCAAGTAGAAAGTCAAGTACTTGGAATTCAGCTAAAATATTTATTGAAAATGTAATTTTTCTATGTACGCAATGTCCTATCTGTTCTGAAATGTGATTAATATCGTAGAACAAGTATTGTACACAACTCGAGCTGTTGTAATTATACGCTCTGGTTATACAGTGTGACCCACTTCTAATGGAAACACCCCTGTATCTCACGTACTCGTTGGGAAAGGATCCTGAAATTTGCTGGAGCGAGAGATATACCAAAAATGCACTCTATGACCAAGTGGAGTCATCTTCAGTGATATACACTGCTTGCCAACAGTCATGGAACCACCCCAATTTTCGGAAAATGATATAAGGAGTTAAAATAGGTCGAAAATCACTTCAGATTCGGATTCAGGACGCCCAATTCACTAACTATAAATACTTTTCCTAGAAAATTTTCAGTTCTGAGAAATTCGGTCGTATTTTTTACGGAAGTACCCCCTTATCTTACGTAATTGACTTTATCTTTGGACTTTCCCTTCCTCCAGCAAATTTCAGAGCCCTACCTCAATAATTACGTGAGACAAAATTTAATTTTGATGAACTGAAAATTTTCTAGGAAAACTATGAATAGTTAGTGAATTGGGCGTCCTGATTCCGAATCCGAAGTGATTTTCAACTTATTTTGACTCCTAATATCATTTTCCGGAAATTGGGGTGGTTCCATGGCTGTTGGCGAGCAGTGTATATCACTGAAGATGGCCCCACTTGGTCATAGAGTGCATT